TTAGGAATTGTTAGTATGGGACTACAGAACAAAGCCAGAAGATACCATGACACTGCCTGAATCCTGAACAGCAGATGCAGTCCTGGGTCCCAAATCTCAAAGGGAATCTGAAAATCCAGACAAGAAGCAGAAGATCACAGAATGTGTCTACACCAGCATTTTGACTCAGGTCAGAAGCACACTTTAAAACTCATCTCCCCATCACTGCCACTTTTCACACTCTGCTTGTCACCTCAGAGCCTCCTTGGGCCACAGGAGCTGGATTCTGAGTGAATCTCAGCAAGGAGATAGCCAGAACCATGCCAAATGCTAACCAGCACCCAGTCCACAGGACTAGGCTAAAATCAGCTGATGCAAACTTTGTGAAATGCAGACAAGCACAGGCATCGAGTCCTATTTCACTCTAATTCCCACCCTAACCCACCACACTGTTTGATGAGGGCACAGGCAAAGCTGAGGCATGTTGAATATCTTGTTTATTGCAAACATCTAATAAAACTAGGACACTTAATTCTGGGCAAGGTAAGATGAAAATCCCCTATGCAATATGGCTCTGAAACAACAGAAGTGGCATAGAAAAGGATGAGTAAGGAGTAACTGCTCAGGGTCTTTTCCTAAATGAGATGGAACAGACATCCAACTGAACATGCAGAGGGTTCTTCTGCTTCAAAACAAAAGATGTTTCTTCACACATCACCTACTTAAGCAGAACTCCTTGTTAATGAAGATTATGGATGCTCTAAGTTTATAAGAGTTCAGAAAGCAACTATACAGATTCATTGGGAAAAGTACATCCAGAGCCATTAAACGCACTCAGCAATGCTAGCTCGGGAAGTATCTGAGCTGCAGGCTGCGAGTGCTTGGGGGATACTTTGGGTAAGTAAAACTACACATTTCCCTTGTTACTGTTGCCTTGTAGGATCCACTGTCAAGACAGGCTACTGGCCTTGATGTACAAAATTTAGTCTGACCAGGTTGGACTGCTCTTGAAAACGTGCTAGATGAAAAGGAAATAAAATGCACACCAGCCTAAGAAACGAGGATACCAACTTCTGTAACAAAAACTACCAAGCGAGCGAATCCTGCCCTTTGTTTAGGACCATAATCACCGGCTTCATCATCATGGTAGCAGATGCAGCACAGGTCAAGAGGTTACGTACAAGTCAGTTTATGCTGAAAAGAGTTACTCAGATAGAAACTTCTGCCACACGTCATAACGCAGCCTGCGATACTTGCAGACTTACAGACCCTTGAGGACAGGCCCAGAGAGACAGTTAAACTATGGGTCCAAAACACTAAACTTGGAGTTATAAACTATCTAGGAAACAGCCCATTTTATTGCCAGACAACTGAAAAAAACCCCAAATGCTAGAGGAAGTCACTAAAACAGAAGGCATTTAAAACTAAAAGGGAATCTGCCTCAAGACATTCCAGTACTTCAACCTTTCCGGTACATTCCACATCCAGTCTTCTCACGGAATTGTTACACTCAGCCTGTAAATACCCCTTATTCTGGCACTCAGGTAGGATTTATGATGCACTGCGAGCGCTGTGCAATTAACAGATTTAATGCCCGATTCGTTTCCTTCTTCAAAGGGAGACTGGAGAAAAGCACAACAGGAGATGGCTGGGTACTGTAGCCGTGGGTATATCATGCATATACATGATGTGACATTCCCCCTGCCGCTACCGCAAGTCAGTGCGTCCCTGCTCTTCCCACAGATGTAGCAAACCTTTTTCACTGTTTAGATTCCCAGCTATTATTCATTCTTCAGCTTAATCATTGAGTGTTGGGGGTTTTTTCCTTCCCTCGGTATGGATTTTTACATACCATCCCACATTTTCACCATAATTTATCAATTGCTTTTTCCACTCCATTTCACTGAATTTCTAATCTCATTTACCCAACTATACTGTCTACAATCATAACATAGCAGTGACTTTAAAATATTCAGTATGCTCCACTAATTTCACAATGTGTTAAAAGAGATAACAGAGGGAATACATTCTTTCCATCTCAGTGTGATTACTTTAACTCGCATACCCAAGACAACAGTACGCAGCCGAGGAGGAGGAGGAGCGGCATTTCTGCCAAAGGAAGTCAAAGCTCTGCAATCTTATACAGGTACTGACCAACTTTCAGTGAGAGAAATGCCACCAACTCTTATGTGCAGGATTGGAGCATTTACCTCTTCCACGTTTTTAATTAGTATCTGGTGGACATTTCATTCTGAATCGTGCCGACAGAGCTTCATCCCATCCAGCAGCACGTTTGTGCGAGGGACTATTACAGATGCACCATACACTAGCAAAACACCCTGCTCTGAAAGGGATTTTAAATGGCACAAATCAGCGGCTCACTTCCCAGCTGCAATCTTCAAGTTCCACATAATGTCAGGGCTGAGCACAAGCTACTTTCACAAGCAATTAAGACAGACTACATGAAGTACCTAGCTCAGCCCGCAGGCTATGTAAGACTTGGCTTTCAGTTGTGTTCAATTACTTTGTCTTTGGTAAACAGAAACCCTTATTTTACTTTCTCTTTACCACTCACTGCATCTGTTCTCCAAATTATACCACGCTAATGCACCCCTGGCAGCCCTTGGACCACTTTTACTTGACACTGAAGAGATCTGAAGGTAAGGTACATAACGCCACGATGTTCCTGAAAAGCTGCTACTACCTGAAACAAGGTATGTCTCTGAACTAAGCTTCACGTCAAACATGCTCAGAAGCATAAATAAGACTTGGCCTCCTCCCATTATGATTTCTTCAATTTTACTTGTCAGTGTTACAAGCCACATAGTTTAAGGTGTTGCCATTTCTGTAGCTTTATTTCCGAAATCAACTTTAACAGTATTTAAGTTTAAAAACTAGACATAGTCCAAGTCTTACAATGTCCCAACCTCATCTCAACACAGAAAGAGCTACCAGCGGTAACAGGCTGAGTCCAATACTATATCACGATGCCCTCGAATGCAGCAGCTCATCTGCATGACATGACACTTAACTGTAGAAACATGCCCAGACTTGAAATACTCTGCACAGTTTCTGCCTGAACACTGAAAACCAATAAACCTGCTCAGAGTCCAATATTTATATAAACTGTTCTCAGGATTTCTTACTAAGTCACAGAATCATTTATGTTGGAAAAGACCTTTAAGATATCAAGTTCAACCATTAACCCAGCACGGCCAAGCCCACCGCTAAACCATGTCCCTGAGCACCTCGTCCACACGTCTCCTAAATGCCTCCTGGGATGGTGACTCCACCACCTCCCTGGGCAGCCCCTTCTAATATCTGACAACCCTTCCCAGGAAGAAGTTTTTCCTAATATCCAATCTAAACCATCCTGTTCCTGATGCAGGCCAGGATGCCACTGGCCTTCTTGGCCACCTGGGGACACACATTCAGATGCTGTCGACCAGCATCTCCAGGTCCTTTTCTGTTGGGTAACTTTCTAGCCACTCTTCCCCAAGCCTGTAGTGTTGCCTGGGGTTGTTGTGACCCAAGTGCAGGACCTGGCACTTGGCCGCATTGACCCTCACAAAATTGACCTCATCCCATCAATCCAGTCTGTCCAAATCCCTCTGGAGAACCTTCTTACCCTCAAGCAGATCAACAACACTTCCACCCAACTTGGTGTCATCTGCAAACTTGCTGAGGGTGCACTCGATCCCCTCACCCAGGTCACTGATAAAGATACTAGACAGAACTGGCCCCAGCACTGAGCCCTGGGGAAACACCACTTGTGATCAGCCACCAACTGGATTTGACACCAATCACCTCCACCTCTGGGCCCAGTCGTCCAGCCAGGTTTTACGCAGTGAAGAGTACAACCATCCAAGCCATGAGCAGCTGGTTTCCCCAGGAGAACGCTGCGGGAAACCGTGTCACAGGCTTCACTAACGTCTAGGTAGACAACATCCACAGCCTTGCCTTCGTCCACTAAGCAGGTCACCTTGTTACAGAAGGAGAACAGGTTGGTCAAGCAGGACCTGCCCTTCACAAACCCTTGCTGACTGGGCACGACCACGTGGTTTTTCTGTACATGCCATGTGATGGCACTCAAGATGATCTGCTCCATAACCTTCCCAGCACTGAGGTCAGACTGACAGGCCTGTAGTTCCCTGGATCCTCCTCCTGGCCCTTCTTGTAGATGGTGGTCACACTGGCCAATCTCCAGTCAAAAGTGAGGAAAAGAAGCCATTAAGTACCTCAGCCTTATCCTCAGGCTTTGTCATTACACTTCCTCACCCATCCAGTAAAGGATGGAGATTCTCCTTCACTCTCCTTTTGTTGTTAAAGTATTTCTAGAAACATTTTTTACTGTTTTTCATGGCAGTGGCTAGATTAAGTTCTGTCTGGGCTTTGGCCTTTCTAATTTTCTCTCTGCATAACCTCATGACATCCTTGTGGTCTCCTTAGTTTGCCTGCCCCTTATTCCAGAGCTGCTAAACTTTCCTTTTTTTCCTGAGTTACAGCCAGATCTCCCTGTTCATATTCAAATATTTAACTTCATTCAGCACTTCTACTCAACCTGAGTAGCAACAGTAATTAACTTGATTATGAGAATCTATGCCTTTAGCTAAAAAGATGACAGAGCTCAACTTTCCAAGCTCCAACAGAAGTGCAGTAGTACTTTTTCCATAAGCCAAGTGACCTTATGCAAACCAAGGTAGAACAAGCTAATTCTATTCAATTTCTGTACAAACTAATGCTAAAAGTCATAAAATAGAAACAGTGCTGAAGGGTTAACACTTCATAATGATAGTAGTTGCTTGGAAGACTAGAGATCAATTTTAAGATACACATCATCAATTATTTAAGTATGTTTGGTCCTGCCTCCCAACAAATCTTCCAGGACTGGTTACCGTTCAAATTTTGTTTGGGAACAGAACAAACCAGCTTTGAGACACACAGCTTCGATTCTGCATTTTAGATTACCACGTGGAGTTGAAAACCACACAAACTAAACAAACAGAACAGAAGATACTCACATTCCCCATGTACTCTGAAAGTAGATCCTGCAAGGCCTGTCGGACCGCATTACACTCGGCAACTATACGTTCCCGTCGGTCATCACGTGTGCAGGATGAATCAGCCATCAGGGCCGCTCCACTAATGATGCTCTCCAGGCGCTCTTCCAGGGAAGGCCTAAAACGTTCTTCACTGAAGGTCGATGGATCCACAATAATTTGTTTCTAGTCAAATAAAGAGTTTAGAAATTAGTAATCGGAGCAAGCAGTGAGTTACTGTTAAGTCATGAAGACAACCAACATTTACAGCAAACCCCTGATCAGGCATGAAAGGCAAACAACACACGATTTTGGCACTGAGGATGATTTTCAGGAGTAGTTTTGTAAAATTACTAAAAGGCTCCCCAGCAGATTACATTGCTAGTCATTTCTTGTGCTGCTTTGACAGCTAAACAAAACTTGGCCAGAGGAAGCCTTGTTACATGAATGGCAAAAATCAAATGTGCCAGCACAAATAAGGTTCAAAGTACAGAACTCTTCTTAACTACATGTCAATCCGGACATGCCTTCACTAGGTACCTTGTCAGACATAATTATCCCATCACGAACAAAAATACAAGGGAAACAAATGACCAAACTTAGCCCTACATATACAGTGCTCCGTTGTCCTCACTTATCCAGTCTTCCTCCTCCTCACCATTATGCAGGTAGATGCAACAGTACAGAAATTCTCAAAGTGAAACATCAACACGAATGTTTTGAACAGCACAAAACTTAATTTCCTCATGGCAGAAAACTATCACAGCCTTATCTTGACAGAGTATTAGTAAGTGCAGCTCATACTGAGAGACTTGGGCTGAAAGAGCAGTACTGATGTGTCTGCTTTTCAATACCACTACCTGTAGAAGTTCACCAGGAAGAAGCAGTGTAGTACGTATCACCTCATGAGTACTTGCAGGTGGTTTATTTAAACAGGTTTGCAATTTATTAAGGAAAAATTATCTGGCCATTTTAAGGTCTGGTGGCTTGTTTAGGGTTTGGGTGGGTGTTCTACCCATTATGGGGCCGGGGAGGGAGTGGAGGATGTTGCTAACTCTTTACAAAAGCAGCCCTCAAGTGTGGTGTTTTGTTTTGTTGTTTGTGTTTTGTTTTTTTTTTTTTTTAAATGGGAGTTTTCACAGTCTATTTGTAAGCCAGTTAACTTCAATAGCAACAACCACTACTTCTACTGTAGCCAGCATGTTTTGTCCCCCTGTGGAGTAACCATGCAGCCTTTTCACAGCAGGATTAGAACATGGCACGTGTTCTCAAATACACTCCTCACTCTTCCTGAGCCTTTTAGCCGTGTGGATGATACAACAGTAGTATGCTGCAACTCCAGAACTGCACCATCAAAACCAGATAATGATTATCTTGTTATCTTCTGGTAGCCATTTAATATTTTACCATCACAGTAAAAACACTGGAGCGTTTGGGGGCATGAGTGTGCAAAGCCTCTATTACAAGAGCGCAATAATACTCAAACGTTAGGAGGAAATGAAGTGCAGGGATAACATCTGCCAAGAACCTGAGCACATTTGTTTTGTCAGTCTCCTTTGGCAGGAATGAGATGACAAAGCTATCGCACACAATGC